TTTTTTTTTTTTTGAGAGGGAATTTTGCTCTGCTGCCCGGAGTGAAGTGTTGTGATCTTGGCTCACTGCAACTTCCACCTCCGGATTCAAGTCATTCTCTACCTCCGCATCCCGAGTAGCTGGCATTACAAGGACTTGACACCACGCCCGGCTAACTTTTGTATTTTTAGTAGAAATGGGATTTCGCCATGTTGGCTCGGCTGGTCTCGAACTGTTAACCTCAGGTGATCCCCCTGCCTACGCCTCCCAAAGTGCTGGGATTACGGCCTAGGATTTACTACTTTTTTTCATAATGCGGAAAAACTACATTCCCCATGATGCCCCAGATCCGGAAGGAAGTGAGACGCACACTTCCCGTGATTGCTTATAGACCGGAAGCCGGGGCCTTAGTTCTCTTTCCCATCTTGCAAGGTAAGAACGGTGGGCCTCTGTGCAAGACTCGAGTTCAGCACTCCCAATCCTTCGCCATCCGAACCTAGAGGGCATCCAGTCGCCACTTACAGGGGTCCGACATACCCACGGCTAACTGAGAGGCCTTCCAGGCACTTCAGTTTTTGCCGTTTGGGTTTGCGGCGGCGCACTGTAGAATGCCGTAGTGTCTTCCACCGGCCGTTCGCCAGTCTCTTGGGCTGGGGGGAACGAGGCCCTTTCGAGGACCCGTAGCGGACTGGTGGGTTAGAGGAAGCGGGACGACGGTAGGTGCACCGAGTTCCCGTCTCCTGGGTTCCAGAAAATGACACTGAGCTAGTCTCAGCCACGTTGGGGTTCCGGACTGAAGCCAAAAGATTTCACGTCTCCCAGCGTCCGCGGCCGGAAGTGGCCTCTTGGTCTTTGCGTTCTTTTTCTGTTTGGGTTCAATTTGGGCTGATTGTGTTTGTGTCCGCAATTCCTAAACCAAGTTTCTTGAAAAGAGACGATGGTCTTAAGGGTTAAGACGAAAGATACTGAAAGTAAAGGGTTTCAAGTTCTAGTTTTGCTCCTTCCTGCTTGTGGACACATTCAGCATCTAAGTTTTCTAATTCGCAAAACAGTGGTAAAAAATAACGACAGTACCTGACCTCTCAATATTTGGCAAAAACCTAATAAGTGTGAGATATCAGTTCAAAGCCTCAAAAAAAAGAGCTTACAGTGTATTGGGGAGACAGCCCCCAAGTGAACCATAGTGAAGACTGGAGTGGAATGGGTAGAATTGAGAGGAAGGGTTATATCTTATCGCGGGAGGGATTGTAGTCTGGGGAGTCCAGCCCATCCATGTGCAGTTGGATTATTGCCTTGTTAAGAGATGATTGTAAAGTGCCTTTTTTTATCTACAAAAAATATTTATAGATGGCGGGTGAAAAAGTTGAGAAGCCGGATACTAAAGAGAAGAAATCTGAAGCCAAGAAGGCTGATGCCGGTAGCAAAGTGAAAAAGGGTAACCCCAAGGCTAAAAAGTCCAAGAAGGGGAAGCCCCATTGCAGCCGCAATCCTGTTCTTGTCAGAGGAATTGGCAGGTATTCCCGATCTGCCATGTATTCCAGAAAGGCCATGTACAAGAGGAAGTACTCAGCGGCTAAATCCAAGGTAAGGGAAGAGGGGACCACTGACCATTATGTCTTAACCTTAATTGGCACCCTCTAATCGTTGATGTATTTGTGTCCTTGTAGATTGAAAAGAAAAAGAAGGAGAAGGTTCTTGCAACTGTTACAAAACCAGTTGGTGGTGACAAAAACGGCGGTACCCGGGTGGTTAAACTTCGCAAAATGGTAAGATGTGGGGACAGTAAATTAGATGTTCGGTTGATGATTGAATACTGTGAAGGTGTTTTTGAATACTTAGGTACTGTAAGTTTCTGCTTACCAGAGTTTGTAGCAGAAAGTAAAGGGCTCTGAGTTTGCAACTTGGCTTCAACATTTACTGTTAATCTTAAATAATTTAAATTACTCTTCTGTGTTTTGTTGTTGGCATGTAAAATGGGAATAAGGAGGCTGGGGTAGTGGCTCAGGCCTGCAATCCCAGTACTTTGGGAGGCTGAGGTGGGTGGGATCACCTGAGGTCAGGAGTTGGAGACTAGCCTGGCCATCATAGTGAAACCCTGTCTCTACTAAAAATACAAAAAAAAGTTAGCTGGGCGTGGTGGCAGGTGCTTATAATTCCAGCTACTCGGGAGGCTGATGCAGGAGAATCACTTGAACCAGGTTGCATTGAGCCGAGATTGTGCCATTGCACTCCAGCCTGGGCAACAAAAGCAAAACTGTCCCAAAAAACAAAAATAATATTTTAAAGGATTTTTTTCATAAAAAGAAGAAAGTAATTAATTAAAAAATAAAATGGAAATGAGGCTGGGCATGGTGGCTTATGCTTATAATCCCAGCATTTTGGGAGGCCAAGGCGGATGGATCACGAGGTCAAGAGATCGAGACCACCCTGGTCTACATGGTGAAACCCCGTCTCTACTGAAAATACAAAAAAAATTAGCTGGGTGTGGTGGTCTGCGTCTGTAGTCCCAGCTACGTGGGAGGCTGAGGCAGTAGAATTGCTTGAACCCGGGAGGCAGAGGTTGCGGTGAGCCAAGATCGCGCCATTACACTCCAGCCTGGGTAACGAGGGAAACTCCGTCTCAAAAAAA